TGGCCTGAATATGAATTTTGTTCTCTTTACAGGAAGCTGTGGAGACCTAATAATTGAAATGAAAGCTTCAGCCAGATGTGTAGTTTGTGTAAATTAAAAAAAAAAAAAAAAAAAAAAAAAGGCAATAAAAATATAGTGCTGATAATTTTTCCATGCTTTGACTAAGGTAGCAGCTTTCCATGAAAGCTGACCAGAGCTAAATTGAGAATGCAGGAAGGAAAATTATTCTGAAACAAGGAGGTTTGTGAAGTAGCAAGCAGGGTATCTCACAATGTAACTATTTTTCCTTGGGACAACAAATTTCATAAAAGTTTGGAGACAGCCTTCTTTATCCACAGTCTGAGTAAATACTTGATGGTAATCTTGCCTTGGGATTTGCTGTCATTTTTGCAGATTGGAAACATCCAGTGTTGTAAAAGCCTGATTTGTGGGGTTTGCCTGGTGTTCACCCACTTGGGTTTTGTTCTGGACTGCATTATTTAAGTCTTTGGTTTAAGAGCACCAGGAGCTTCTGAAGTTCTGGCAATCCTCACATGATCTAATCCATTAAAATTCAGGGCACCCCAGAAGAGTGAGGCCGTGGAAATTTGAGCTTGATTAATCTTAACCTCCAGATTGGGTAGGACCCAGACGCAGGATTGCAGTTCTGGGATTTCACGTTTTCTCTGTTCAGGGCCTTGTTCTAACCAAAGTGATGAGTGGAAAAATTTGTGCCTCTTTTGTGGAGGGCTGAGACAAGTTGTTGCAATGCTGAAAATACAACACAGCTCTCAGCACCCTGCTCTCCAAAACTTCCTGCTAGCGTAAGTTCTCTGGCATTAAATCCAAACTCATAACATTATTCATTCTTTCAGCATTTCCACAAGTTATTTTGTGACACAGAGGTGTGACAGAGGGATGCTGCCAGGGTGGGGATTTTAGCTGCTTCCTGTCCCAAACCCATCCAGCAGTTGGTGTGATAGCTGTTCTGTCCAGCTGTACGTGCCCATCTGAATTTCATAACTTCTTTATCCCATCGACAAAATAAAAGTGCAGTCAAAATTAAGATTATTTATTAACAGGGGGAGCTGAAGTGTCCTGCACTAGGCCATGGTGAAATCCAAGCTCTGTCAGCTGCTCAGGTGACTGAATCCTACAGACTCTCCCTGGGTGTGTAAATAGGACTGGACAGTTTTAATTTCTTTTTGAACAGCAAATTTCTGCCTTTGCAAATGTTTATTTCATATACACACCATGTAATTCTTCCCAAGACCCTGCCCTTTTTAGTTTGTTTTGCCTCTCAGCCCCTCTTCTACTTTAAACACTGCCAGAAGTAGTCTGGATAGGAAAGGAAAAATTAGTTGGAAAAGGAAAACAAGCATCTGTACACAATCATATACTCCATCAGTGTGAATACAAGGCACCCGAGCCTTATACAAAGCTGTGAACATTATGTGCCAAATTTGTTGCAGATGTAGGCAGAAGCAAGAAAATATTGAAAAACAGAGAAAAGTCAGTTAAAACAGGCATACCAGCTTTTATGAAGAAAATAATTATTATGAACATATTCCTTAATATTAAATTCGACGCAGCTCTTTTTTTTCTGTCTGCTTATGAAGCATTTTGCAGCCAATATTTAGGAAAAAAGTAACACAACAAGAAGTAGCTCAGATGCCTTCAATGATACAAGTTTAATCCAGATGGAATTTTTAAAAATGCTTCTTTGCAGACATGAAAAGTCCTGTGGGCTCATTTTTAGAGAAGTGAGTTTCTCAGCATGCTCCAGTTTGTCATAAGTAGTGAGAGTGGTCAGCTTGATTTTCTTTCTGTGATTAACGTGAGCTTGTTGTGTTATTTTAACAAACCACCTATGCTAGACACAATTTCTGTGCATTAAAAAATTCTTTATAGGATCTGCTGACCTTAATGAAGAGAAGATTTAATATTAGTGCCTGCAGACTTCCCAAATTACTCTTTATTTCTTAACCTAATTTTATTTTAAAATTACTTTTCAATGGACTTTAACTCAATGAAAACAAAACAGAAAAACAAGAGGTTTCCCTCCACCTTTTATTTTATTTTTTTTTTAATTAGACCTTTCTTATTTTAATGAAGACATTATTAGGGAGATTTGGGTAGCAACTACTAGTGAGGAATTAGAGTTTGACTATAAGGTCCTGCTCCTCTGGTTGACTTTTTTGTAACAAATTTGGACATGGAATCTCATGGAATCTGAAGGATGCAAACTCTCAAAGAGCTTAAAATGAAACACCATTCATATGTGCAAATGTCAAAAAGTACTTTCAATCATTTTTATCTTTAACAGAGATATTGGCTAACACTTCCTTTTTTCAAACAAACAAAACCAAACAGTTTTGGGAGAGAAGAGAGATCTGCTTTCCCCATGAGAGAAGTTAAATATTCTGCCTAACATGATATGGCCTGTGTCCAAAAACATGTACATTTTTTAGTGCGTGATGGAATATGTATTTTGGTACTTCATGAATTCATCTTCCTCTCTTCATCAGGCTTCTCATGTCATTACATAGCTCAGTAAGAAGGGAGGTGATCTTGGTGCAAACTGGGAAATGCTGCCTGACTCAGAATTCCAATATTTAAGACAAAAAAAAACCCTTCAATCTCTGAATTCACCAAATTTCCATGCCAGTGTTCACTAAACCAATTTTGAGAATGGATTGGTTCTGTCAAAATACTAACACTGGAACATGGGGTCCTAATTTTAGATATTTAGGTGGGATTTTTTTGGGTTATACAGCTATAAGATAGATGGAAAAATTATGGGATGGCAAGAATGGACTGTCCTGGCAGGTAGGCTTTGCCTTTCAGTTTGGAGCTTGTAAAATTGGCCAAAATAAGTTCCAGGAAGATCCATAAATATATTTAGGGTACAACCTGTGTCAGTTGAGCCAGGTACAGTTTGAGGAACTTGCACTTTTTCTCTTGACAAAATTCCAGTGGTCTGAAACCTGAGTTAAATCTGTTAAACCAGATTTAACGGAGTTAATGTTAACACGAGTTAATTCCATTTAACTAGTGGAATTCTCATCCTAATCTAGAAAGTGATAATGGGAAAGAGTGGGATTGGCAGGTCTATCCTCAATATATTTAGTGCAAAGTCCACCTAAAAATACAGAGAATGTTAGCAAAATATTCAGTGTGGTTGTTGTGGCTTTGGAAGAGCAGATATTTCATATTTCCTCCCTTATATCAAACTCACCAAAGTTGGAATCACTTCAAGTTTTGGAACCTCCAAACAGTAATTCAAATAATAATGGGAAAAATTCATTTGTGCTGGGGTTTTGAAGCTTAGAACTTCATTCAGGACACACGTCACATGTTGGAAAAGCAGCTTCCAGTGGAAGTTCAGTATTTCAGAGTATTTTCACATTAAACTACAGAAATTCAGCACATGAAGAATACAGGGGGGGAAAAAACCCCATCATTTGTGCAAGGTGAAGCAAGGATTTCAGTTGGTGCACTTTATTCTCCTCCAACCATTATCACCTTCCCATTTCAATTGCTAACAATTAATGGCATTGACTCCATTAGAAATTACCAAAGTTACTAATTTACTATTCTCTTCATTTTCAGTAGGTTTGAACTTGCATCTCCAATTGATTTTTTTTTCCCAATATCTTACTTTCAAGATTTTTTAATATTTCTGTTCCCATGTGGGCAGCTTTGGGAACGGTTGGGAACTTCTGTGTGAACTGGAGAGGGTGTGGCCTCTTTTGGGGCATTTCACTTGAGTTCTGTGACAGGAACACCACTCAGTCTTGGGCTGAGAGTCAGGATTTTGGAGCTACAGCTGGCAGCTCCATGTGAAAATAACTCAGTGTATTTGTCTGCACATGCAGAACATGTGTAATTATATACATTCAAACACATATATATTCTCATTCATACTCATAAATGCTTTAATTCAAGAACAGATACTCTTTTCTTGTTCTGTATTGCAATGTTTCCACACTCAAGAGTGTCGTCGTTTGGCAAAAAAAAAAAAAAAAAAAAAAAAAAAAAAAAAAAAAAGTGGTTTTCAAAGCTCTGTTGCAGTAATAGTTTTGTATGAACTAAATAAAAACATCAGGCCTCTCTGTTCCAAATAATTTTACTGCAGTTAACAACTCAGCCAGCTGTCAAGTGTGTTGTCACCAAGGCTCCCTCTCTCCCTGTGAATAATGACACCAGTGAGTATTGGATTTCTGGAGTATCTCAAACAGATAGGCACTGTCTTACAGCTGCACAGAAGTTTTTCTCTACCACTTTGGAAGGGATGGTAGCTAAAAAAATCACCTCTGTAATTTTTTGCAAAAGCTATTTAGTGATGATAAGGTTTCACAGGCTTCAAATTAATTTACCTACATCAATTTGCATGAAAATTATGTAAAAAGCACTCCCTGGACATTGTCTGGATGCGGCTTTATTTTTCTAATAGCTAATATTTTTCTAATTTTTAATAATTTAATTCCTTCCAGGAATCAGTTCTGGCCTTGACCTCTCCAGTTCCTGCTCCATTCCTTGTGTTTGCATGGCTGCCTTACTAGGAATGACCTCCTTAATGTATGTAAATTCTTCCTTAATGTATGGAGAATTTATAGGGACTTTTATTTGCCTCATGTATAATTCTTAAATTTATAAACTTGACATTTGTAGTGTTTCAGTTATTTCTTTTTTCCTTTTAAAAGCTGATTGCAATTTATCCACTTGTAAATCTCTGCTCGAACTGTAATGCATTTTTCTTGCCCCCTTTTCAAGGATTTGCTACAGAAAAGTTCTGTGTGCATCAGCTGAATGTGGCAAAGGTATTCACTAGTGTGCCAAAGTTGAGCTCTACATTAAAAAAAAAAACCCCAGTATTTCAGAAATAAGTTCTACATCTAAAAACCATAAAACCAGGAATTGTGACAGGAGTAATACAGAGAACTTTGTTACAAACTAATCCCTAAATTTTATCCTCTTACTTATGATGTCAAATAATATGTTGGTTCTCTGGAAATTTACCTTTAGGAAACATAACAGGATGTGATTCATTGTGGCTTCTGGGAAGCAGGGATAAAAATGGTGAGTTTTCAAAAAATTTATTCTCAATGATAATTTTTTCTCCTTTATTTTTCCCTGTGTCTCCCAAGACATATTCAGTGCATGTTAATTTCTATTTTTCCAGAGAACAGATACTTCTTTATATATATATATATATATATATATATATATATATATATATATATATATATCCTCAAGTTCCACCCATGCAGCTCTATTATTGCTTTCTACACTAACTGATCAAATTATATGAGCAAGAAGATTATTTTGATGGGGAAAAGGAGTGCAAATCAAGTATAATAAGTTTTGGTGTGGTTGCTATAAGGTTTTTGTTGCCTGTACCAGGAAAATTAGGGCTTATACCTCAATTTCTTAGGTGAGGAGTGATTTATGATTGAAAACATACATTCAAAATAATAAACATTTGGTAAATTTGTACATTCCTCCCTTTGCTATATATAATTATTTCCTGTGTGTAGCATTAGTGTCTTGTGAATAAAAAACTTCTCACAACATGTCCTTCTGCAGCATTGCTAAGCACAGCTATTGAATGCAATTTTCTGTGTGCCATTAGGTTAAAAAAAAAAAAAAAAGAAAATGTTCTTTATCTAGAAGGCTTTATGGTCTTTCTTATGGTCTTTCTACTATGGGCAGGGGAATTTACAAGTTGCCATTTTTTTTCAGTGCAGTAAAAATATGTTGAGAATTACCAGTGTACATATAATGCATTCAAAATACACAGATCCACAAAAAGCAGCTCCCCAGCTTGCTCTTGGTGAATTAAAAATTACTTGAACATACAGTTATGTTGGTTTTTAGGTGTTTTCAGGTTTAGGAAGACGATGCTTTAGACACAGAGTTCTTTACAAGAGTTTCTACTCGGCTTTTTGTGGTGATGATCAAGTTCTTTGTAGATGATGTAAAGCAGTTGTAGTAACTCACAGTACAATACAACATTAATGATGTGCTTTGCTTCTAAATCTCAAAAAAAAAAAATTTAAGGAATAATAGTAGTAATAGTAATAATTATATATATATATATATATATATATATATATATATATATATATAAAGTGACTCCACTCCTCCAGAGCTCAGAGTGAGAGTGAGCACTAGGAAAAAACTCTAGAAAACAAAAACAGATCCTGCTCCGATGCTTTGGTGCTCTAGGAGGATTCCTAAAATCTTTATTCCTTATATTGGTGCCTTGGTAAGACCAAAATATAGATATACAAAAAAAAAACTTGACAGGTATTAAGAGTCTCAGTTTTTGGTGGTTTAATATTCAGAGTTTGTCATGAAAACAGTCACCAAGCCAGAGAAGAGAGATCCTAAGAGCATGTATGAATATACAACAATTACAAACAAAGAATTGTTTTACAAGATGGCAAAATTTAATAGGGCACCACAGTGCTCTGTTCTAAGAAACTGTCCTTTATATTAATGTGAGGTTTGCAAAACAGGATAAAAACAGAAGTGTCCAAATTTTCAGTTACAAGAACAATTGCTTTCCTATGTTGAGGTTAAGTAAAATTCACTACTGGGAAGTGCAAAATAAAGCATTTGGTAGAAGAACCTCCTGAGCTAGGTGACCCATTCCAGAGAATCACTGGGGTTCACTTTCATATATGAACTTTTCACTTCCCCAAATGCTCTGAGAGGGCAAAAAGAACATGGGATGGTGGAATGGAGAGGAGTTGGAAACAAATATCATGAAAAGGTGAATGCAAACCCAAAGTTTCTTGTTCAGGCTGTGGATAAAGAGTGAATTATGTCTTTAACTGAGAGCTCACTGAGCTGCAGTGATCCCAGCTGTTCACCTCTTGATCCTCCAGGCCAGGAATTGATGGGGGTTTCCCAGATTTTACCTGGGAAAACCCACAGGGTGTCTCCATTCTGAGCCTGCTTTGTGCTCGTGGAGTGAACCTGCTCTTCTGCTGCATCTCTCCTCAGGCCACCTGCAACTCCTTTGGATTCTAATTCAACACCACCTCAGGTTCTTTTGCCAGCAAAAATACTGAGTTCAGCTGCAGCTGCATCAATTAGCTCCTCAAGCCTGCAAGCAGTGACACTTCTTTGGGTGAATGATGGACCTACTGGTGAGTCCATAAATGCAATGATCAATCCTCCCTTTCATGTTACTGTGTTTAAACATTCTTTTACCACCATGAGCTTTGAAGGTGGCAATCCCCTGCCCTTTACTCATAAAAAACACACAAATATTTTGCATCTGTCACAACTGAGCTTCACAGATGTGCAGCAGCACAGATGCTGATTTAAAAAAAAAGAAAAAAAACCTGTATATATATATTTATATATTTCTGTTGCTCACAGATAATTTTGATTTTGTGGACCCTCAGGGCAAGACAGACATTGGGGTGCTGGAAGGAGTTTTGTGAGGAGCAGCTGAGTTGGGGTTGTTTAGCCTGGAGAAAAGGAGGTTCAAGGGAGACCTTATCACCCTCTCCTTTGAGAGCAGGTTGTAGTGAGGCGGGGATCAAACTCTTCTCTCAGGCAACAAGTGTCAGGATGAGAGGAAACATCCTCAAGTTGCACTAGTGGAGGTTTGGATGGAATATTAAGTTAAAATTTCCTCACCAAGATAGTTGTCAAGCACTTGAACAGGCTGCCCTGCCAGGAAAACACCACTGGAGCTGTTTGAAAAGCAGTAGATGAAGTGCTTGCAGACGTGACTTAGTGGTGAATCTGGAAATATTAAGTTTAGGGTTGGACTTGATGATCTGGTAGGTCCATTCCAACCTAAAATATTCTCTGATCCTATGTAATGGGTATCTTGTGGTCACTGAATGTAGCTGTGTTGTTGTTATCCTGTGCTTGTCCCAGATAATGTCTCTCATGCTGTATCAAATATGTCAGCTCTCCTAGGGGGGCTCTCCTCATCCTCCCAGGGTATGGCTCATGCCTCAGGTTTTGGCTTTTATATTTTTCAGACTCTGTGCTGCTTTAGTGTGCAGGTCTGGGCTTCACATTATGGGATGGTGAGCTCTCTTCACAGAGTAGGGAGACAAAAAATTCCTTCTCCAGCTGGGCACCAAGGACAAATGATCCAAATCTCAGGCCCAAGAGCACAAACAACGTGGGCTGGAGAGAGAAAAACAACAAGGATGGGCTTTCATAACCTAAAAAAAACCCCTGTAATTGGAAAATTAACTCCAATATACAAATGAAGCAGAATTTATAAAAGTGTGATACCCCATGAGCAATTGTGCATTTTGGGACCATTTTGGTTCATCTTGGGGTGTAGCCCTGGCTGGGCTCTTGTCTGCCCAAGGTGGATCTGTTGGGGCCTTTTAATAAATCCCTGCTTGATTCTTTAGCTCTGTCCAGCCTCTGCTCTAGCTCAGCCTTCACAAGGCATCAAGGGCAGGACCTGCTTTTATTTGGAGTATTTTGCTGATAGTACCTTCTAAAATATCAAAATCTGCTCTGTTTATTCTTCTGGCCCTACACCAGTCTGTTATTCTAAAAGCGGAGGTGCATTTTTGATTTCAGGGTTTAAGACTCCTGCTAATTTGCAATTTACCCAGGCCAGGCTTGTCCTTCCACTGAGATAAAATAGTTTTAACCCTCTTTAGAAGGATTAAACCCTCTGACTGTTTTGTTAGGGTTTTTGTTTGTTTTGGTTTTTGTTTTTTATCAAGCAAAAAACAGATCTACTAAGGTATGTTTGGTAAAAGAATTATAAATTAACAGTCTCTTTTGAACAAACTATTGAAGCTACTTGAACTCTTCCAGTAAAAATTAGGGTTTCATTTGGGAAATGCAATGAGCAGTTGAGGATAACTGTGCTGAGAGGGACTCAAGGACTGTAGGGGATTATTGGGATGATGGGGAGCACCCCCATCAGCCAGATGAGTGAAAATGGACCTCTGGAGCCCAGAGAAATGTGAGTCATTTCAAGGACTGAGCAGATGGATTAGAGCTGCAGCAGCAGCAAACACCAGAGGTTTATTACTGACCTCATGGGCCACTCACCGGGGCAGGGATGACAGGTGGAAAGCAGTACCTGTTTTCAGTGGTTTCTAGGGGTTTGGTGTGATTGTTTTTAGATTGACAATGAAATGAAGCAAAACTTTTTAGTTCCTTTTTTTTCTCCAGCTCTGAGAGACAGAAGAGTGCACATCAGATACCTACTTTATCTTGCTGATTTCAGGCAATAATTTGTGCTGGAAGAAGTGCACACCTTAAGTCCTGCTCAGCTTGACTCAGAGAAGAGTTCAGAGTCAAGTCCAGATCACTTTTGGGCAGAACTGGTGCTTGACATTTTCATTAAAAGTAACCACATGCTAGTAACTACTTGCTGCAGGAGTTGCACACTCCATTTTATTTTATTATATTTTATTATATTTTATTTCATTCTATTATTTCATTCTATTTCATTATATATTATAATATATTATATTATATTATATTATATTATATTATATTATATTATATTATATTATATTATATTATATTATATTATATTATATTATATTATATTATATTATATTATATTATATTATATTATATTATATTATATTATATTATATTATATTATATTATATTATATTATATTATATTATATTATATTATATTATATTATATTATATTATATTATATTATATGTTATGTTATGTTATGTTATGTTATGTTATGTTATGTTATGTTGTTATGTTATGTTATGTTATGTTATGTTATGTTATATTATATGATATTATATTATTTTTATTTTTTATTTTATTTTATTTTAATTTTCTGGGGTAGGAGCAGGCCCTCACAGTGCCTAAATGCAGAGAAATGGTGTATGCCAGTTTGTGTGCATGTGTATCCACATACCTGTCCATGCATTTAGAAATCATAATGGGAAATATATCCTGAATTGGAAACACCAAAAGACTTTGTGACCCTGCAGTGATGCAGCTCTATCAGTGTCAGGGAGATGGTGCTGATTTATACCAGAGTGGGGTCAGAGAGCAGAGCCCCTCAGCACCCAGAGCAACAGGGATGGTAAAAAATCAGCCTGAGGCTTTTCTCCTTTGCTTCTTTGCTTTTTCAGGTCTCTGCCATGGATGACTTCTGCCTTTTCTTCCAGCAGGACATGGATGTGGTAGTGGGAAGGGTGAGCAGCTCTGTGGAGGGCCCGTGCTGACAAAAAACACATCTAATGCAACACAAATCAGGATGGATCCCTTCCCACAATGTCCATTCTCTCATGAAGCCTGACAGAAAAGCACAACAGAGGCAGCTGGCTTTGCTGCTAATCTCTTGCCTTTCACCTGGGTTTGTTTCCTCTGTCCTAATGTCTCCTGACAGTTTCTGCTGTGTCCATCCTTCCTTTTTTGCTGAGCCTCCGCCATCAGGCATAAGAGGGATCTACTTTAGGGGACAGCCATCCACAGAATATCCATTTGGCAGCATGTCAGGAGCATGCTTCAGTGTGCTGTGTAATTTATAAGGCAATGCATCCATTTTTAAGGCCAGCCTTGAGTCCCAGTATATCAAAAAGCAGAAGAATAGATTGCTGCTGCCACTTATAATAATGTGTCCAGAAATACATTGTGTGAGGGACCTTGTATATATCAATGAAAGTGTTTTAATTCTCCTTTTAGTGGCTATGTGCCGTGTATTTAGTAGAAGTTATGGCTAGGATGACTTCATTGATAAAGCTCTATTTCATGTAGCACAAAGCCAGAACAAAAGATGTAATAATCTCTGGTGTATCATGTGGATACCCATTGTGTGGCATTGACTTCAGGGGACTGAAATTTCTCTAATTAGAGTTTTTTCTCTGTCCTAAGTTCCTGGAAAAATCAGAGTTCAAAACTCAAGAATACAGCCTGACAGGGGTTGAACATGTTTGATAAAATTGAAGGGATGGAGAAGTTCTGGAGACAGCTTTTAAATGCACCCATTACTTTCACTGATATTTTATAGGGCAGAGTCTTCACTCTGGGAAGAGCAAAGAGGGAGGTGGACAGGGATTTTTCGCTCTGACCATGGGGAGGGGAAAGAAGGTGACCTGTGAATTTCCACTGTTTCCTGTTCTAGTCTGATGGCAAGTAGTGAAGGGCATGGAATGAGATTAATCCAATTGCTATAAAAACCTTGGCTTTGTTAATTAAATAATTAATTGTTTATCTACTCATTGTTTATCTAGTTATTTACTTGATATTCTCAACTGAGGAACTACTGCTACACCTGAGGATTGTATTGCAAGGTGCGCCTGATCTTGAAGCCGGGCATAATTTGATTTGGGTATTCATAACCTGAGTGGAGAAAAAACAATTTGAAACAAGAAAAAGCATGTATCATGGAGACTCACAAAAACCCCTAAGAATGTGAGATACAGACCAGAATAATTGAAATCTTAAGGAAAGACAGAAGATGAGTCCTCCCTCTCTGTGCCTCACTGCCTGCAGAGCAATGTCAGATTAGTGCAGAAGCCAGCACAGACATGAAAATTGCCCCAATGCAGCAGAGATTAAACACAAATCAGTGCTGGGGAGCATCTGAGCAAGCAGGTGGCAGAATCCTGCCATCTCCAGAAGCCAGGGGAAGGGTTTCCAGGGCAGGAGCTAAACATGGTGTCAGACCTGGGACCTGCCTGCCAGGCTGGAGGACCAGGGTCAAGGTCAGCTCAGAGATGCTGTACTGGTGGAGTTTGGGCCCTGGCACCAGTGAACTACATGGAAACCAGAAAAATCTGCAGGTATTCTGAGAGTTATTTCCTAGGAGCTTTACCCTGAACTGGTCCTGCTTACTCAGACAATGTCAGTGAAGCTTTTCCATAAGGAAGGGTTTGATGAACTCCAGGGTCCTATCAGCCTCCTCAGGACCAGCACACAGATGCAACCCCTGCAGCACAGCTGTGAGGACAGACCCCTTGGGGTGTGTTCACCTTTTCCAGCAGCCTTTAGGGACTTCTGGGCAGCCAGGGCTCTGTCCCCAGGGGGAGAGCAAGTCAGACACAGAGTCTGTGGGTATTGACTTCCCCTCTTGCAGCAGGATGTTGCTGTGTTTTCCATATGACATTGCTGCAGAGGCAGGCAGTGCAGGGCCAGTGAGGGATGGAGAAGTGTCTGGTAGACAATGATTCCTTTGGGATTGTACTGTCTAGAAGATGGAAGAGGGCCAGAGAAGATCAAAGGCACAGTGTCTGTTAAAAACTGTGTGCATGGTGTGGGGCGTATTCTGTTTTCTCTATTGATTTCATTATT